GAAAAGTTTGCCTGCATCGAAAGCCTCTAAAGTGGCAAAGGGACGACGACGAGCTCCCAGCGATTCAATAAACCGTCAGAAAATACCGTATTTCCAGCAGCTATATTCTGCGGATTTCATCCCAATTCCCATTTCTCTTCTTCATTCTTTCCATTTTATTCAAGATTTCACGATACGTGCTGTATAAACGTGATTACAATATATAGTTAAATACTTATAATTAAATTAAAGACAAGAAATTTTTAATTCAATCTCAGTGGATTTATTTTATCGTTGTTATTTTTTAAATTCTGGAAAATTAAGTAATATGAGAAAGTCTGACTATATTTCTATATAAATAACAAGATGATGTTAAGTTTATAAGGAGCAACCTCTCGGGAACTTATTAAGCCTGCTAGATATATTGCGTAAAATGAAAGGGATGCTTCCACAAGTCCTCGAAAAGGTACTTTGAAAGAAATTCCATGTTGGGGGATTATATAGTGCATACAAGTGATAAAGATCGTAAATGCAATGGAGTGAGAAAAGGACTTGGTTGAACGTTCTTTTCTCGTTTGATTTAACGTGGCATGCGTCGTCCTATATATATATATATATATATATATATATATATGGACCATTGGTCTGCAATGTGGTCAGCGGTATGCAGTGTACATATATATAAGCCCAGTAAATAAGCGAGTATTGAGGACAAATGAGTGTGCATAGGTGCGGGTGGGATATATAGGTTTATGTTAGTGTCGGAGTTGCTAGGCGACCGAACTCCACATTCTTTCCACTCCGTGGCCCAGCATCCCTTAAACAACCCACTTTCAACCCCAGAGTGTTCCCTCATTTCGTCCTCTCGTCCTCTTCCCTCTGTTTTTCCCTTTCAATCCCCTGGACCATTTTCCCTTTTCTGTATAGTCCATCGCCAATTCTGTCTCACTTCCTCTCAAGCGGATCAATGCACTCTCATGAACCCTATATATCCCATATATGTGTAACCATAGAAAATACAGTAAGTGTGTATATGTATATATATATATTTTATATATGTTGGTACTCTTTGTCCGGTTGTACCGCATGGAATAATGATTAACCCCAGATTAACGATGATGTCGGTCGAGCCGAGGTTCGAAACAATTACGATTTCATCCCTCCGTACATGCGGGACAACGAAATGTGAAGTTTACCCTTTTCCGGAAACATCGGACTCTGATTCACAGTATACCCTTTTTTCGGATCAAAAAATTTGAAACGATTTTTAGTTCATGACTTTTATTTTTGATGGATACGCAACGATTCATTATTTACATAAAATGCGAGGGTTTATTTTTGCTAAAATTATTCTTTATATCGTTGAAATGATGATGATGATGATGATGATGAACCAAGTCTTAGAAACGTTACTTTATTTTAAAGAATCGAATGCTGATGATTTTAAAGAAATGATAACCTTTAAAATACATTGAACTTGTTTCATCCATTGAAACAACTCGGAACGATGTAGCTGCAAGGGGCTTGAGAAGATCGAATATAAGAATAAGGGACGACAGGGAATTCCGAGCAGGTTGCTACTATATAGGATAGGCAGGTGTTTCACCGCACACATCTGAAACCCCTAAATTTTTCTCCGTATAGTCGCTCTTTATTGCCAACTGTCTTTATTTCCGAGGAAAATACCAAAACAAGTTTATATATTGAAGTCTTTGATGTTTTGGAGATTTCTCGGTTAGCGTTTCATAATTTTTTTGAGTATTTATAACAAAGAAATCATATTAATAATAATTTTTATTTAGTAGGAATTACATGTAAAAATTATCCAAATTTTTCTAATTATTAAAACTGAAAACAATTTCAGGTATCAAATGAAATAACATCATCTAATGGTGATGATGAGGAGTTTAGGTATAAAGTATATAGCAATATCAGGTGGATTAAGCAATTGGTTCAGCATGAACTAATTTTATTTATTACACGACGACAAACTTTGTTTATTCTCTGTGTGTCCCAAATCCAAGTTTAAAGATAGTTGATAGACCACTACCAATTGCAAGCAGATATTCACCTTTCACGCTGGCCATCTGCCGAGACGCTTCTCAACGAGAAACCACCCTGGTTGCCAACTTTTATACATTCTTTAAATCTAAAGTTTATATAATTGTATACCGGAATTATATTTGAAATTGAATAGATTCTGTTCTGTCTAAGAGTATTAGATGTTTTTCTGTTTATTTGTTATATAATTCCAAAATGTTTTTAAAGTAACAATAACTAAAAATACCAATTACAATTCTGAATATAAGTTAAAATATAGAAAATTGCTGTTCTAAACAATAATAGTTTATTAAAGTACAAGTAGAACTTGTATTTTTTTTTTAAAATGTATTTATTAATTTTTATAAATAAATTGATTATTAAAAATTATTCATTAAAATTTAAACTTCTTTTGCTTACAGATGGGTAAGGAAGGATGATGAAGTGTATACGCAGCACTCGAAATTTAACAAAGGATGTGCTGCTCATTTCGGAAGTTGAAACCGAGAATAAAGATGAAAATTGAAGGTAAGCCTTTGAGATATTTCAATTATTTTCTAAATTAAACTCACAAAACGAATTCATAGATTTATGATTCCAGTATGAATTTGATTTGTTATAATTAATTAACTATTGCGATTTATATATCATTCATTAAAGATATAATTAACTTTTTTTATTATGATAAATAATTAACTCTACAGTCGTGTATATATTATATATACAGTCTGCAACTTGTTCAACGCAGACTATATCAAGTCTCGTAAGAAGTTAATTATACGACAAGATTTTGCTAATATATGTTGAGTTTAAAAATTCACATTGTCATTATATATATATAATATATATATGTATATATACTGATATTCGTTGAATTATTAAAGTGTGTGTTTCTCAAGTTGCACCTGGTGTTTCTGGAAGAGATTTTACACCTGGTGTTCATACTTCATGTTCCTCTGATGTTCGTTCGTTTGTTGCCAAATTTTAGGATATAGAGAAAGTGCTAAAGCCACGTGGCTGTATAATTTAATAATTAAGCAAAAATATGCAAATTATCATTTTGTATTCGCAGAATTAAATATTTACATTCGATTAAAATTATTTGATCCACTTTTACTTATACGAAAGTTTTTTTAAAAAAGTTCTTCTTGTCCGCAAAATCAAATTCTTCATCAAAGAAAAAGAATATTTTCTCAAGAAATTTTCTTTGATTTCCTGAGTATATATACTTTTGTTATGAGGATTATATTAAATTAATTAGATACAATAATATATGTATTTTCTTTGATAGAAAGTATAATGGATTTATGTATCTAAAAGCTGAATGTATATATCATTGATCAGTTTTGTGTTACTTTATAAGACTGATATTATAACTTCCGGAATCTCTTAACGCTTGATTGCTCACGTCGACCTTAGAGAATAGGCGAATAACCAAGAAGGTTGCAACATATTCTCAAGGGAGGGCCCCGGTGGGATCGATGGAGCCTCGATTCGCGAAAGAGATCGTCCTTGCGCGCGGACATAAAAAGCACCTGGGGTCCGACTTCCGGCTTTCCCTTCGAGGACTGTGCTCGCCTCCCACCTATATATATATATATATATATGTGTATTACGTATACTCTCGTATCTCAACGTCGGGCTTTGAGTTGCACCAAGGAAAAGCTGGCTGGGTTCTGGGGGAAGCTCAACTTTTTACGATCCTGCTTTATGGAGCAACGCCAGCTGGGTTCCCGATAAACGTGCTCCACGTATCGTTTTTCGACATTTGCGTGAATTCCCTTGCGCACAAAAAAGCTTCACGAGAACTTCCTGAAAACGATGAAGGATTTCAATATTTTTATGCATTTATTGATTCTGGTCCGGTCAACTCGTGACAAGGGAGATTCAACTTGATTCGCAACTTGAAATATTTTATATTTAGTGAAGTATATATATATATATATATATATATATTGAATATTTTATTAATCTAATCATATATCTGATAAAGTAGAAATTATATTGACTAACAGTCAATTTTGATGTACGAAACTCGTACGATTATTTCGTATACATGGTTTCTGAAATATTTTATATTTTTTATATTTAGTTTATATAATTTTAAAAAATTGAGAGTATAAGTTTTAAAAAATTTTACTTTTAAGTGTGATGGCATTATTTTGATCATTCAGCAGAATTTTTTTTTTTTGATATTTGAGTGTCTCTTTATTAATAATAATCTATAGATAAAGTTGAATTAAAATTTATATGTGCTTTCTTGTCTGAATCAGTTGTCGGGAATATTCGCAAATGTGTCACCCAATGTGTATGCGGTCCATTGAATATATATACTGGCGTCATGGACTCGGCACCAGTGTATATTGCCTCGAAATTCATCACTTTTAAGCCTTCATATTCACATAATACGAAAAAATTAACGTGTACTCTGATTCTCGTTGATCTTAATTAAACCTACATTATTAATATGCATAATATGACATAGGAAAGTCCTTTTATAGACTTTAGTTATACATGTTGTTCTTGAAATATTTTAAATGTCTTTGACACATGCCCTTTCCAAATCTTGGAAAAAACGTTTCTATACTACCTACTGAAATAATTTTAACTAAAATCAAAATCGTGTATTGGGCCGATTTTTTTTAAACTATACTTTTTCTTTAAATGAATTAGTCATTACTTTCATCACACCGTAGACTTATGGCCATAGTGTATATAACGAAAACAATTTTCTTTTCAATCAATAAACGAATTTTGAAAAGTTTACTTAGTTGTATCAAGTCTCTTCTAAATTTATAATGTCTAAACGAAAAATTAACGTAATTTCTGTTAGTGATAAACTTAAAATAATAAATGAATTCGAACGTGGGAAAACACGAAGTGAAATAATGAGTGAATTTAATTTGCCGGAATCTACTTTTTATAACATCCTAAAAAACAAAAAGTCAATAGAGGTTCAGTGTTCTGAAGGCCATGGAAACATGAAGAGAAGCCGAAAAGTTGAATTTCCTAATGTTGAAAAGTGTTTGTTAGAATGGATAAAAGAAATCCGCGACAAAAATAATCCCATGGATGGCCCATTATTAAAAGGAAAAGCCAGTGATTTTGCGATCAAACTAGGAATAAAAGACTTCTCAGCTAGTAACGGCTGGTTTCAGGGTTTTAAAAGACGACATGATATAGTTTTTAAGAAATTATCCGGAGAAAGTAAATCTGTGGATGTAAGTGTATGCAATCAGTGGACCAAAGATCTGCCGAATCTTTTAAGGGAATATGATCCAGAAGACATTTACAATGCAGACGAGACTGGTTTATTTTTTAAGTGTCTACCAGACAAAACTTTTGCCTTTAAAGAAGAAAAATGCCACGGAGGAAAACAAAGTAAGGAACGTATTACTGTTCTTCACTAACAATAGTGCTGAAGAGGATGATGAAGAAAACGAAAATTTGACTGTAACATAAAAACCCGTTCCAAATAAGCAAGAGACTTTAAAAGCGTTAGAGACTGTTCATCGTTTTTTTGGAATTTTCTTCAAGTGTTGATAAATCTCTTTTCGATAAAATTTATGCGCTAGAGAAATAAGTCGAAAATATTAATATAAAAAAACAGACGGAAATAATGGAATTTTTTAATCCTTTTAAATAAATAATAATGATAATGTGTTTTAGAAGAAAATAACTAAAAATTAAATACTTATGTACAATAAAACATTAATTTGAATACCATTTTTTCATTAACCTGTGTAAGTGAGGAAATTTGCTTTGAGACCTCTGTAAGTGAGAAACTGGGTAAGTGAGAAACCTCTATAAACGAGAGAAAATTGTCAGTCCCTTGAACTCTCGCTTATCCAGTTTCTACTGTATTCGTATATAAGCGATGAGAAATTTCCAGTGGAATCTATATTTTACTTTAATTGACCAAAGAAATGTTCATAAAACTTATTCACAAACAGCGTTGAATAGTGACGTACAATACCTCTCAGCAATTTGTATTTAATTTTATACTTCATCCATGTTTTATTGACAGATAGTTAAGGCTATAAGGGATTTAATCAAATGTTCATTCATTTATTTGCAGTTGATTTTTTAATTCAAAAATTTTGCTCCCAACTCCGGTTGTTATTAAGTCCCCAAATTTTTAACAGTGTAACTTTCCCAAAAATAAATAATTGATTGCGGTTAATGTTACGCTAATTTTATATAAGTTAAATTTTTTTATTTATGAGACTGAACGTAATCCATTAAAATTGAAAATATTGTCATTTACCATTATTGATTTAAAATGAAATTGCAAATGTGAACGCTATACTTTAGTAAATAGCTGATAGATCCAAACTATTAGACAAACTAGAAACCACTATTACTTTACTAAACTTTACTTCAACTCGAGTTTGGCAACCCTATTTTGGGGATGAATTCTCCTCAAAGCATCAAAATCTGAATGTCGTTCCAAATCGTAAGCGCTCAAACGATTACATATATATATTTAAATAGAGGATGAATAAAATTTGAGAATTCAATTCTAGTTTATTCCAATATTTCACCGTCTACTTCCAATTTTGAATATCATCAATTTTATTGCTTTTGTTCGCAGAGTGCGAGATTCAATGTCATTGTTTTTATTCGCAGTGTTATTCAATGGCGATTTTAATATGTAAATTTTTATTGTCTTTTATGTTTTATATATAAAGCAATGATACATTTTTTTTCAAAGGCATATTTTTAAAATATAAATGTTAAAATTGTTTAAAATAAAGTTTGCAAACGTCATCGCAAAGAAAAACATATATAATTCAGACATATGTGTGTGTATCTTGATTCTTTTGTGACAATAATTATATACACTTGATGCCACCTAAAAGTCATTTGAAACACGAACCAACCGTGTGTTGCTCACTTGCATATATTGCGAGATTACGAGAATAGATAGAATCTAAACGTCAGTTAACGTCTGCCAAGTGAAGGAAGTCCTTCTCAACTCAACGTATATAGAATAGAATCACTTTGAAGATCTAGATATATATGTATGTATGTATGTAGGCGATGTCTAATAGACTGCAAGCTCAAGTAAAGCTTTGCTGACATTTTCATTCGAATTTTTCCCGCATCGTTGCCTATGAGCTTTTCAAAAAAAATTCAACCTGTCAAGCTATATTAATGTCCGTTAAAATAAGAATTTCAAGGGAAATTTGTCGAGTAAAAAATATTGATTGAGAATGAAAAGATATGATGTGATATGTTATTAAAAAAAAAATACTTTTTTTATATGAAGAAGCGCAATTTTTTTCAATAATCATATTACTTTTTTCTAATTTGGTGAAGTTTATTTATTTTTGTATATTGGTTCAATATATTTTATAGAAGCTAGATTAAAAGTGCAAAAAAGAATTAGCAATAGAAATTCTTCGCATCTTGGTGTGAAAAGAAGAAAAATATAATCGGTTCGTTAGCTCCTGACTCTAATGTTACGTTACTAAGAACAAGTATCCATCTTGAAGCATCATCTATTGTGCGCGCAAGAGATATAGGATTTAACTCAAGAGGTTTCTCATTTCTCTTATATTGTCCGCGGACGTCTCCTTTTGCTTTAGTGTTTGACTTGATCAACACATTTGTCCTTATAATCTAGTGTACGTTGATATATATATATATATATATATATATATATATAGGAATGACATTATTCTTAAATACCGACTCAATCGTCTGCGAAAAAACAATAAGTGAGATTATGATGAAAATGACTTTAAATTTTTTTATGGAACATCGAAAGGTTTCAGTAAAATAGTGGAAGATTTAATTGAAACAATTAAAACTTTTGCAATATGTATTCTAGTGAAACATTTTATTGTTCCTAGCAGGTAAATCTTTTTTTCCATGATACATATTTCGAAAGATATTTGTCAAAAGATATTTATTGGAATATAAATAAATACAAATGAGATAATAGATTAATATATAGAGATGAATAATTGGATAGCATTGTTGAAAGTTTCAAACATATGGACACGCCTCTTTCACCTCATAGGCAACCACGCGTGCATATTTGAACGGTGGTTAACTCTTGTGTAAGAAAATTTACTGTATAAAATCGCCTTCAGAATTCCCTCCCTCCGCCTTTTGTCTTTCATGTATTTCCCCACCTACAATGCATTGTAATTCATTCTTTTACTTTAACAGTGAGTCCGACCTAATTTTCTCAAGTATATGTATATATATCCTCGAAATTATATGTGACGCGATCTGAAGAAAGAGACCTTAGAAGGAAACGAATTATAGGTTATATGTTTACGACAGATTTACTTGAATTAAAAGTTTATTTTTGTTTTTGAAAAACTGAAATCAATTTTTATTGAACATTTTCTATGTAATGAAGACCCAAATATTATTAGCTGGCATTTAGAGTTGAACGTCTTTGTATATTTTCACTTTAAAATTTCAAAACGTAACCTATAATTTTTTGCTTCTAAGGTCCTTTTCTTCAGATCGCGTCACACACACACACATATATATATACTTATGAATGTATAACAATATTTATAAACATGTTCTATTATAATTATGGTATTGAATCCTCTTTATAGTATTTAACAACATCAGACAAGAACGAACTCATCGTTTGGTGAAAAGATATCTAAAGTTGTAGTACAATTAGAATGAATTATATTGAAAGTATCTCAAATTCTTAATACAGGTGTTGTCTTGTCAGTACCCGAGAAAAGAATTGAGGGACAGAAATAGGTATTTCAGACAGTATAGATAAATACTGGAGATTAACACACTGATTACCTTAAAGAAAAACTTAACCGCATCAAGATTTCTTTGATTTTTTAATTGAGAGTTCATTGAATCTCATACATATCAGTTATGAGTAATCAGAACCCTGGGGTAATAAAAAATACCGTGTTTTTTAAAGTCTAGGAATTTTAGAAATCGTTTTTGACAATTATCAATGGCGTTTATCAAATATGTCTCAGTTTTCCAAACAACAGAACAGTATGTTAATTTAGATTTAACTAATGAATAAAATAGGGATTTTACGGCCAATACATTTTTAAATTTATACTACAAGTTCTGAATATGAAGCCCAAGGTTCTATTAGCTTCACGAACAATAGTGTCAATATAAACTTCAGCGGAGATGTAAAATGTACTCCTAAATCTTTAATCAAATGAGTCCTATCCCAGGGATTCCCATCTATATGAGAAGGAAATTTCCTTCTCGAAAATGTCACGACCTTACTTTTTTGCGGATTGATATCTAGCGACTTATATTTTTACACCATTCATTTAATCTATATTCACATCACTTTGGAGGTCATCACAATCATCAAGACAATTAATTGGCTTAAATACATTCGTATCATTAGCATACAACAAGAACTCATTACTATCACGGAGAAAAATTTCTTGGAACTTTTGCTTGAAATCCTGGGAAAAATTTATATTATTAATGGCAAGGTGGTGACAACTCGTCATTTTTAGCAAAATATAATTTTTAAAATACCATATTATCCTATATATTGGTTTACAAATTTTCAGAAGTGTTTATAGTCGTAAATATATTAAAACGTAGTATAACTTTGTATACTGCAAAACAAAATATCTTATCCTATACATATCATGAAAACCAGTGCGAAATGAGAATTTTAATTTTGGTAGTGAGAACTATATATAAGTTATCCTTTACTAGTTATAAATGCCGTCAAGTAGAGCATCTTATACCGTGAGCATGGGGATTTTCGTGATGTTAGAAAGTAGCGGCGTCTACACAATACTACCTGTTAGTACCGTCGAGTAGAGGATATTATACTGTGAGCATGGGAATTTTCGTGGTGTTAGGAAGTATCGGTATAGCTATCCAACACTACCCGTTAGTGCCATCAAGAAATCATCTTATACTTTGAGCATGGGAATTTTTGCTCTGTTTAGAAGGATATAAAACTATTTTTTCGTATGTATTAATACTTTTTGAAAATGACTTTATGCAGAGAGTTAATAAATGAAGTTTAAAATAAATAAGACATACAATTTTTATAAATTCTCTATATATTTCAAAAATATTTCGAAAACGAATTCCATGCACACCACATATAAAGTTAACAATATTCATACCCATCTTTTTACAATATAATTTGATCCATCACATCCTCGAACCGTAAAAGTAACAATACCTTCATTTAATGTTTTTGAAGTTAAACATTTCCATGTTTTTATACAATCATTTAACTTCATACGCTTGAAAATGATCATCATACCAATCATTATTACACATTTCCGTAACAAAACGTAATTTTCCTTGATCTAATGAACGTAAATGAACGATTCTTGTATTTCATTGCACGTAGATTTTGAAGTATTTTCAGATGAATCTCTGATCTTGTCTGATTTTTTGGCCCTTGGCTCTTCTC